GGTGCCGCCCCGTTCTCTGCCAGCAAGGCCAGCCCGCGGGTGTGGAGCGTCAGCCGGTCGATGGGGAGCCACTACGAGAGGCCGTGGGTGAAGGTGCTGCCTCTCAGTCTGCTCTGCACTGGACTGCTGCTCTGGTGCGTGTTCAGGCCAAAAACGGAGATCGATGAGCGACTGGAAGCCGTTTTCTCCAGTCAGATCGCGAACTCTGTGGCCCAGAAGGGCAATGCTCCCTTGCAACCGCAGAAGGAGAAATGAGGCCTGGAGTGGAGCTGCAGCCAATTTGGTGCCAAAAGTTTGCTGGCATTCACCTGGTTAGAAGCTGTAGTGATACTTAAATGGGAAAACTTGGTTTTTCCAGCCCTTCGGCAGCCTTAGCTCACAAGCTTGGTTCCTTCATGCATTCTGCCACTTTCTGTGCTGGTGTTAGCTTAGTAATTTACACTGATAGGGCACGGAGTAGTTTATTCCTGCATTGGAACAGGAGGTATTGCGTGTCAGCTCGTACTTGAAGATAATGTTTAACACAACCTGTCTCTTTTCCATGAATCATTTTTAGATGCACAGTGTATGAAGATATTAAAGCTATGAGTTTGTAAAGTTGCTGCTGGTGACCTTGATTTGACATTTTGCTAGTCACAGAGTATGTTCAACTTACATTGAAGACAGTTCTAAGTGTCCGATTCATAAACATGAAACTTCTTGTTCTGCTAAATAATGTAGAAACTATCTTTTTCAACCTTTCATGAATAGTTAGTGCTTGCTTTCTGGACTAGAACTTCTTAGGAATGCCTGGTTTAGGTGACAGTGGTAGGAGCCATTTTTGCTGGTAATTGAAGTGATTGTCTTGTGTATTGGAGAAGAAACCTCTAGTTTCACTAAACAATGTAGTACCTTGTTTTTCCTACAGATTCATAGATGTTCAGACTTGCATACTTGGAGACTTTTCTGGGAGAGGAGGAATCCAAACTACTAATAAAACTCATTTCCCTTTAAAGTCAGAGCCAGTCTTTTTAAGCTTTCAAATGTAAAAATGCAAAACTAGTTTTGTGCCATTAAAATTCCTAATTAAAAAAAAGCAACAAACGCAAAAACCAACCAAACAAAAAAAAATCAACCCCCCTCTAAACATTGCAGCAGTTAGTAAGAGAGGCTGGAGCTACAGGGAAAACTGACTGAACCTTGTTTGTCTAACACTGCTGATGAGTCTCTGAACAACATGCACCACCATGACTGTTGATTTTGCTGTAGCGTCCCTGCAGTTTGACTGCACAATGCCTGGTGAATGAGTACACTTGGTTTGGTAATGTCACGAAGATTAATTTGTCTGGGGATGCAACTTTTACTACAGTAGAATGTCACAAGTGCGACACATGTGTGGGGCTATCCCTATGAGTGAGCGAGTGACCCTGGATTTTATTTATATTGACCTAAGATGTAATGCCTGTTTCCCTGACTAGCTTGCTTTCTCTGTATTCTGTTAAAAGCATGAAGCCAGCAATATACAGCTTTGCTTAGGGAGATAAACAGCTGCCTCTCTGTGTGTGCCTCGTTTGGGAGTGAAGGAATAGGTGTCTAATAAAAGTGCTCTACGTGTAGAACTGTTCTTGTAGTCTTGCTTTTAAGGTTCTGGAAAACTTGCAAACCATCTTCGCCAAGCCCTGTGCTCGTTTTGGAACCATTCTGGTCATCTCTGCGACCGTGGAACAGAAATTTGGAGCCGAGTGGGAGAAGGCACAAGGTAAGGGTGGTGACAGACGGGGGCAGCAGGAGCTCAGCTGGATGTTGGCCAGCGTATGAAATAGTGAAACAGTCCGTGGTGTTGACAGGGCTGGGACAGAGGTTGG